AAGCAGTCCATTATAGGCATGGAAGTTAAGGCTCTGCAATTTCGTTCGCAATTAGTGGCTATGTAGTCGGCATTACGAACAAGCCGTCTTTATTTCTTAGGAAAGTTGGAACGCATCGATCTGAAGCTGGGTAGCCATCAGGACACCACTGAGGATCGAACCTCAGTTCTTTACAATGGCAGTTCAATGCCATAGCCGATAGAAGAATATTTCTTTAATTTATTAGCAATTTTTAGAAGCTAATAAATTCATTCATTAACTTAAATTCATTTAGTTAAAAAGCACATGAAAACTAGACTTGTTTTATAAATGATCGCATTAAATATGCTAATTAGCGATTCAAAGAAACCTTTTAAGAAAATCATTGAAATTGTTTCTAGTGCTGAATGCGTATTGCCTTTTAAAAATAAATTTAAAAACTTAACAGATAACAGTTGTTGTTCATTTAAAATATAAACAATCTGGAAAAAATGTTTCTATTCATGCAGTCAAGGTCTTTAAAAAATAAAAATAAGAAACTTTTCTAATTAATGAACTTTTCTTTTCAAATATTTTTCCTCCTCTTTTTCATATCATAACTGTTCGAGTAACGTCATCAGAATTTTTTCGCATAACCTCACGCTTCACTCCATTACAAGTTTAGGAACAAGGTCAAAATCGTTTGAAATATTGTTGTGACTTTTTTTTTTAACACTTTTGTTTACATTAGCTGAGGCTTAAAAAATATTAACTAGCTAATTTAAAAAAAAAAAGAACTAATATGTTGAAAACATCTTTTTTCAAATTCAAGTAAAGAAGAAAATAATTATGTTTTTGTTAGAATTAAGACGAATGAAATTTGGCATCATCAGTTTCGAAAATGAACTTAAGAATTTTGGTGATGGGAAAGGCTATCATGGAAATGGCCTTAAGTTTTTAATTTCAGGTCTGGCAAAGATAAAATTTTTCTCTTTTTTATTATCTATTTGAAAACATTTAGTTTGATAAAAAAAAAAAAATTTTTTATCTATTTGAAAACATTAAATTTTAAAATTTTTATTTTGTTATTTTCTTCTTTTCAATTTTATATCTTTTAATTAAGTCAAAATTTCGATTGTCGATCAGTTATGCTCACTCTATTTGGGAAAGAAGTTCAGTTCGTAATGGCATCAGGGTCATAGCTACAATGAAAATTTAAGCTTTCAAATTCATAGGAAAATGGTCAATATTTTGATTGACGATAATTTCTATTGGGCCATAAAATGGCGATATAAATTCGACTTCCAGCGGACTTGCGATCAGGAAACTATTGAACGTTATTAATAACTCCAAGTTTGCTATCACGTTATCAGACATGGAGTTCCAATGGAAATTTGAGATCGCTGGTTAGTCGAAAATTGGTTCGAATTTTAACTCGCCATGAATTCTTTAGGATGAAAAATTCTGCTTGTAGAAGTTAGTAAACGATTCAAACTTACGTTGTCATTGGACAATGAACATTTGTGGAGATTTAAATTTCTTCATTTAATAATAACGAAGGAAGAAAAGGTAGTTAAAAAAATGTGATAGCAAACAAAAAGTTTGCAATTAAATTTTTTTTTCTGTGCGAAACAAGAATTTTTTTAAAAGCTTTTTAAATTCATTTTAATTCCAATTCATTGCGAATAAAGTTTAAATTTCATAAAAAAAAATTAAAAAGAATTAACTCCGATTTAAAAAAAGTTCGGAAATTTACCAATACAGTTGCAGATTTCCATTTGGATTCGGAGGAAAAAACTAGGTATTTTCAGAAATTATAAGCGTAAACTTTATTTTTTGAAACGAATAAAAAATGTTTAGAAAATTCTATGCATTCAATAAAAATTTAATTTAGTTTATGAACAATAATTGCATGAAATGTGATTCTTCAAACAATAACGGTCGAGTTTTATGCATTTTTGTACTCATTAAAATAAATGCATGTTTAAACATATTGTTACAGCAATACAGTCAATTACAATTTATTTGCTTTTTTCCCCCGTCGTTTTAATATGCGCATTGAATTATCAAAATATGCTAATGAATTAAATTTTCGCGATGTATGATTTATCCCTTAAACTATTTTTAGACCGAAACCAGTCAAATAAACAATTTAAATACTGTGGATATTAGACATATCCGCAAAAATTTATCTTTTAATAAATCTGGGACCCTTGTTTTTTTGTACATCTAGAAATAATCATTTGATGTCACGAGGATGTCTAAGATATTTTAAATCCACCGATCGTCAATTTTTCGAACTATAATGGTCATTAGCCAACCCATTGCCATTATAAATGTTTAATTCTCTCTCAGTGCCATCAATATTACTCACTTTTGATCTTATTCGCAATACCGTATCAAGATCATTTCATATGTCTATGCAGAGTGGTACATTTTATTCTTTATGATGTTATTTTTTCCCCAAATAACTTCAACCGATTTTGATTCTCCTGTTATTTACTAGCATGATGTTGATAGCCTTTGTTGATACTTACTCTAAATAAACGTTCCTCGTTTTCCACTCATTTGATTTTTCGTTTTTCATGGAATCAAAACTAAACAAAATATTATTTGCTTTTTTTTCTTCCAAATTTTATTATAATTACTTATACTACCTATCACCTACCAAAAACAAGGTGGTCAAATGAAATTAGAAAAAGCATCAGGTGTTAATTAGGAAACAAGAGCAGTGGGCCAAAATTTTTGTTAATTAAAGTAGTTATTCTATCAGTAATTAAAAAATCTTTGAAATGATATTTATAACTACAGCTAAAAATGACAACAACAAAAAAAACCTATTTTGCATTGATAAACATTTTTTTATTTATATTATTAAATGCATCATGATGATATAACAGACAGTAAAATAAAATCTTGAATCGCTTTCATTCTTTTATAGCCCATTATATATATCTGAAACGATTACATTTTATAACTCTGCGTATTAGAAGACCGTTAAAATGGACTATTATAATGAAAAACTTGTTCAATATGATGTAAAATAATAGGTAAAATTTTTATTTGCTCTTCAGATTCGCTAAACCAATTTGCACGCGTTGTTTTATCTCTATATACTTTTATAAATAAATAAATAACATCGATTTACATTATAATTATTTTTTTACATTCAAATAGTACTTTAATGTTAACAACAGCTGCTTTAAGCAAATGAGTTTTGCAAAAAATTATTACAATAAAATGAGTTTTTTTTTCCAGGAGCAAATAACTTAACTACATGCCAAATTACATTTGACGAAAACTATAGTAACTTCCTGAAATAAATAGATTCTAAACTAACTCATCTGAAATGAATGTAAAAATGATATAATTTAAAATAAATCAACACTTTTTTTTTAATGTCTCCCTCAAATACAATGAAAATAATAAGACAAAAAAAATAAATTCATTAATTTACATTGCATTCATATAAATGCATTAAAAATTTATATTTTTTGTGTCTTAAATTCGGAAAAAAATCGAGTCAACAAAATTCAATTTCTAAAGGCATAGAGGATGACCGAAAGTAGGCGAAATTTTAAATTCGAGATTAGTAAGAAGTACAGATAGATTTAAAAAACTTGTTTGATTTTAAATGTTCCCAAAAGTGTCACGAAGCCTTGTTTTTTTTCTTTCTTTTTCTTCGAAATAAATGATGAAATTGTAAAACTTAAAAAATTTCTTTCCTTTATTTTTTTCCAGCTACATATTTAGTTTAGAGAAAATATTAGCGGTAGAATTATATTCTTCTGCAGTCTCTTTGGATAAATAATATGCGTCTTAATTTAAGTTTCCCATTAGTTTTAGATAATTAAATTGTAAAGTTGCGCTTTTTTTATAAACGGATATCAATCAATTTCAATATCTTGGTTTTACGCCATTTTATTGGTAATCCCTTCCTCTTGTGACTTCACTGGGTGAATGCAATTTGAAAAAAGAAAAAAAAATTACTTGGGTTGGAGAGCGACAACGAAAAAGAGCCTAGCCCATCTAATGTAATTAAAATAAATTATATAAAGTATTAAAGTGCAAAAGATGAAGTACTAAACAAGACAGAGCGAAGTGAGTTCTGATCGCGAAGCGCACTTTAAATTAATTGAGTTGAGTTAATACCTAGAGTTGACGAGCGACAGTTAGCAGTGAGCGGAACCCAGTAATTAAAAAAATTCATTTATGTAAGTAATGGTAATCGCGTCTGCAAATTGGGTATACTATAGCCTACGTCACAGGTCGTGTTATTCCTACTAAATTTAACTAGTAAACAGCATTTACTGCGATCCTGATTTCTTGCGACAAGTAAACATTAAACGAAATGTGTTGTATGGTACTCGTCAGGTTGGAAATGTATTAGTCTAGTTAGTTTTGAAATAATTTATTTTATTGTTTTATCTAAGTTTATGAATTTAGTAAACATATTTAAAACTCAGCTTATTAATTAAAATAAAAGGTAAATATTATTCCTAGTAAAATTTTCGGAGTGGAATTCTTATGTATTGTTCAACTTTGTTTTTATTGTAAATCAAATGATAATTTGTTTATTTATTTGAAGTTATTCTCATTATTTTATGCGTTGAAATTCCATGTCATCTTCAATATGAAGAACTTCAAATTGTGATGTAATTTAGTAGTTACATATTTCAATTTAACAAAAACAGATCGTATTTTCTGAAATTTCATGCGTGCGGTATATTTATCTGTTTCTTGAAAAATGCGTTCACTCGGTTAGGAGTATCAGCGCCGTAAATATTGCCACAGCAGCGTAATTTTTATTTCTGGCAACCTTTATCTCAGCTGAGTGACGGTTTTGCCCAGTTACAACAACAGCGATTCGAAAGCGAAAGAGACGAGAGGAAGTAGATTTCGTTTTGGCTTGAAGGTTGAAAGCAGATGGCGCGGAGCTGCAACACAATAACACTGACGATGGAGCTGTTTATGTGTATGTAGTTTGTGTTTATCATCTGAACTAAGTTATAAATCTTGTCTTATTTTTACCAGGTATTTGTTAGAAAGTGAATTCCAACCAGTTTCGTTAGTGTTATGTAGTGGTTGCTATGATCAAAAATACCTTTATAATGTGAAAGTCACAGAATAGAACGAAAATCAGAAAGACCACATTTATCTTTGTGTAATAGTTTTTCTGTAGAATTGGATGTGTACATTGTTTATGCGACTCGGCGATATTTTCAAATGCCAACAAAACAGGTTGAAAGCAGTTAAAATTCGGAATATATTATGTAATTCCGTATTATGTATACGTTCTTTTATTTTGCTACGTAGAAGTCAATCAACTTTTGTTAATGGATAATTTCAACTAAACGATATTCACTTTTTTTTAAAATTTTACAAGTGGTTTGTGACGTTATTAATTATGCTATTATTATATCTAGATCGTATTTAAATTTATTTGTATGATGATATTTATTTACATTTTTATAGACTCATTGTGCACTTGTTCATTCTCTTTGTTTTGATGATTTTTTTCTCCTTTGTTTGTAATATACCTTTCGACAATTAAGGAATAACTTATTTATCTTAGTTGAATTATTTTTAACATTTATAAGTTTTGTGATATCTTTAAAAAATAAATATTTTCTATTTTCCATGACAATTTTAAATGTTGTTATAAACTAAAATAGCACATTTGTAGTTTAAGCAAAATCTAATTTATATGATTGGGTTTTATATTTTCAATTAGATTTTTGAATTTTGTGTAGAATATTTTGCATTTTTTTCAAATTGATACCATGCAATTAATATAAACTAATAATTATTTCAAAAACGCTTTGTGCAATATTTAATCAATAGATCTGAGTGAGTTATTACTGTACAAGAAAGGAACTATTAAAATCATTGAATTACTACATCTGCTTTTTTCTTATCTAAGTGTTATTAGATGTTAGTTTTCTCAAGCTGATGATTCCATGCATTCTTTTGTAATTATTTATTATAAGCAGTGGGAATGATATAGTGAAAAGAAGAAAAAAAGAACTGCTGCTCTTTTTTTTCTTGCATATGGATATAATTTAAACCACAACATTTTGATTTTATAATTTCAGAATTATTGAACAATAATGTTAGAAATCTTACAATTAAAACTATTCAAAATATATATTCAATTTTCCTTCTCTTTCATCTGTAAATATTTTTTCTGGTAGAATAATAAATGTGATTAGAGATAAAAGTAAACTTTTGCATAATTATTAATTTGCATATAATTTATTTAGAATTTCATGTTTTAAAAATATCAATGATTTAAATTTTTAAAACATTTTTTGAAGTGTGTCATTAATGATTTTACTCGAGAAATTTTCAGGATTTTTGTGTTGGGCTCACAATCACCCCTGTATCTTTCAATGCATGCAAAATACCAGAACTTCATCCAATCAGAATTTGAAAAATGAAGCATGTGGTATTTTAAATTCTCTTTTAATTTTTACTGACAAAATTATGACAATAAGTTTCTGCAATCAGCAGTTTTTAAAAAATAATTAAATTGCATTTAGTTGTCTATTTTTAGATTTCTAATAAATTTCTTTGTTTTTATGCACATTAACTTTATGATAATTTTTTAGCCTTTTCCAAATCAGTTTTCATCAGTTTAAACTGGAATAAAATTTTTAAAAATCTAAAAGCTGTCTAAATATGTAGTTTTAAATTATTTACTCTAAACTGCAAATCACATAATTTTATTGCTACAAAATTTTGAAGAAAAATTCACAGAAATACTAAAAATTATCAAGCATTATTTCTCCCAATCTAATAAAGCTGCATCTTTATTTTTCACCCTTTTTGAAAGGTATTACGTATTTGAATAGAACTATATAATCTCAAGTTTGTCTAATACAAAAATAAAAAATAGAAAGAAGAAAACACATCAAAAATCTTACCTAAAATCCAAGACTGTGTGAGTATAGGCCTCTTAATAAATGTTTGGAAGAAGAAGAAAAAAGATTCCTACTTATAAATTTTAAAATGAAATCTGTACAACGTAACTAATATATTATAAATGCCAATTTCAATTTTCTAGGCTCTGTAATAATGTGGTATTCAGGATTTGTAAACATAAGAAAGCATAGAATGATTATCAAGTTTATAAATTGTTCTCATGTAAAAATATTTCCCCACTTTCTCTCTCAATATGATATATTGGCCCTCAAATAGAGAGACCATTAAGCCTCCTCAAATAGTATTGTAATAAAGAAGTGTTTCTAAAAAACATTTATATGCAAAGAGAAAATATAAAATTAATTCTATAAAACTTATTAAAAATAGTTTTTCAAAGGATTTACTTGATTCAGAGTAATTGATATATATTGTTTATAATGCATCGATATTTCAAGATAAGCAATTGTCCGACTTTATTGCTGATTTATAAGTCTACTCCCTGGTTTTGGTAAAATTTTGAGTGTTTGAAAAGTTGATTTATACACCAGGATGATAAAACAGTTCATCAATGCTTTAATGAACTTTACAAGAGAATTGCAGTTCTGCCTTATAAAAATACTATTGTGAATTTTTAACTGAACTTTGTCATTATTTCAGGGAGTTTGCAAGACTTGCATTGGAATAATGAATAGGTATTTGGAAAAATATTTAGTCCATAGAAATTCTAGTCTTTTGGAAAAGCATAATAGTGTAAGTTTCTTTTTTATATTAATTAATTGATTATGAAACACACTGAACTACTTAATTGTAAATGTTTGCTCTACTCGCAGATATTTTTTTTTATAATTAACTGTATATTTTATAACTGTTTTTGAAATTGCTGTACTAATTATAATTTTTATGGCCATCAAACAAAATCGATTTTAGGAAGGCTATTCTAAGTACTATGTTTCTGAGAGTTATTTTTATATACATAACTATATAATTATCTGTTTTTATTTGTATTCTCATTGGTTTTATGAATTTACCATGTAATTCATAACTTTTTTAGAATTAGAGATATAGAAGTAATTATTCTTTGTGGCCATCAAATAGTTTTATAAGAAGGCCATATGTAGTTTCAAATTATTTTGTCTTTTTCATAATAATTATCGATGTTAATTACCTGATTTTTGATATGTATATTCATTGATTTTTATATGTACGATGTGAATCATTCTTTAACAACAAGCTATTTTCATGAAGTATTAAATTTTTTTTGTGCCGAAACTATAATTTGTGGACCATTTTGAAATTTGACTCAATTTAGTAAAATAGATGGTGTCTCATGTATTCTAAACTTTTTTCTTAAACAAAATTTAGAAAATAGTTCTAAAACAATTGGGTAAGAAAGATGACTTAAATAGAATTATCTACCTTCAATCCTAAAAACTTAAAATTTGCTGTGTTTGCTATTTCTTCTTGTGCAAGAAATTAAAAAAACAAAACAAATTATCAAACTTAAATTCTTTTTAAGGAATTATGATTAAGAACAAAACTTTTCCAGCATAAAATTTTTAGATTGTGTCTGTGTTTTAATGCTCAATAATGAATTACATTTGTGTGATGATAAAAATGTTTTTTTTTAAATTTTTTTTTTAAATCCAGCAAATGTTACATGAAGATGATATTCTTATTTTTCCTAAACCTCGTTCAAGAAATATCAGACTTTTCATTGCATAGCTATAGTTTGCTATGTCTTTTTATTGCACTAATTTGTTATAAATAATTTTATACTTTAACATCATGTTTTTCTCTATGAAATTAATTAGTATGAGTGCCAAAAATGTGTTTTTATGAAATTCAATAAATAATTTTTATAACTGTTGGCAGTAAAAAAAGATTTTTTTTTTAAATTGAAGATTTATTTTACTACTTTATTAGCTTTTAAAAACAAATTTCACACATCAATGCTAACAAAAGTATTTCAATTAGTGAATTGGATAACATTTGTCCTTCAATATTGTTTCTGAATATCTGAGGTGGACCTTATGTGAACGGTCCATTTTTCAATAATGTTTACAAAAAATTAATATAAGAAAATTTCAACAAAGCATTTTTTAAAAACTGAAAGGGGAGAAGTAGGCAAATAGTCTTGTAGAAAAAAAAAATCTTAACTATTTGGATATTTTTTTAATGAGCTAAAAAATACAAACTGAAAAGTGGCCCAACTAACTCCAGTTTTTGTCGTTACATTAAGCACTCTTGCAAGAAGTCAACTTTTAAACTAGGCTGATTTTTTCTATGTTATTGTACTTTCCAGTACGAAAGTTGAGTTTTGAACTCCGATATTACATTGAAAGTTGGGAACCATCAAGTTATACATTTGGACACAAAATTATTTATTTCATTTGAATTAGTATTATTAATAGGAAAAATCTAAAAATAGTTATCAGTTTTGATTTTATACACTTTGTTTGCAGTACCAATGTGAAAATTATACATTATTACAAAGGATTGTATTACATCTTTGAGTCTTTTGTTTACTATTATTTATTTTGTTTACTATTATTTATTGTTATTTATTTTGTTTAATTTTTTTTCTGTTCATGATCTTTGAATATGTGTGTTTTATATATAGCTTAAAATTTGTTAACTAGTGGAAATTACAAGACTGACTTATACACTCAATAATTGCAATATTCATTATTTTGAAGCTGAATATACGAGGTGTGATAGTTAAATAACCGACTGTGCATGCAGCTTGGTGTGGGGGAGTATAAATAGAATGTAGTTAACCTTGATGCTTACGGTGCAGATGGCATGTTATTCTGTCCCTCTTACTAGTTTAGTTCGTTTTTTTTTATCTTTGCTTCAGTTAGATGTTTGGTTAAAGCATCACAATCATGAGAAGTTTAAAATATAACTGCACATTAATTTGAAATTCCTTGGGAACTTAAAAAAAAAAGTGCCAACTAAATGCTTTAAATTTTTGAAGGAGGTGCTTAGAAATAATTGCATGACTAGTGGTCAAGTTTTTGAAATGGCATAAATGATTTTTAGAGGATTTAGAGTTTTTTGAAGATGATGAACATACTGGCCATCCTGTGACTTCAAAAACTGATAAAAACATTTAATGATAAATGAAATCTAGTGTGAAGACTGACATTAAAGTGTTCGAGTGATGTTAGATATTACGAACAAATTTAGAATATAAAAAATTTGACAGAAGAATTTCATATGACAGAGATTTGCTACGACATCATGGGAAGCTTCGCAGAAGATCCTGAATTGATGAAAAAGTCACCACATGTGACAAGACGTGGATTTTTCATTGCAACTCTGAAACTAAACGTCGATCCATGCACTGTCAAACTCCCATATCACCAAGGACCAAATGAGCAAGTCCAAACTGAAAGCCATGCCCATCATATTTTTTCCTCGATATTTATGATATAATCATGATAGAATGGGTACCTCAAGATGAAGCAGTTAACCAGCAGTACTACGTTATGTTCCTAAGAAAACTTAAAAAAAGAGTGAAGAAGAAAAGGCCAGATTTGTGGAGCAGCAATGTGTGGATTTTGCACTCCGGCTCACAATTCGCTGTCTGTGAAACAGTTCTTGGTAAACAAACACATTAATGTACTCAGAAGACCTTGTGCCATGTGACTTCTACCTGCTTCTGAAAGTGAAAGATGCATTGAAGGAAACAAATTTTCATTGTATAGATGAGGTGAAGGCAAAAACAGGAGACTTTCTGAGGAAGGGGACATCTAATGAACAGTAGAAAACTCATATGCTGTGATGTATTGATAGATAAAGGGATTATGTTGAAGGGGACTAAAAGGTATTTGTAAAATGTTTTCAATTAAGACAAGTCCAGTTATTTAATTGTCACACCTCGTAAAAGGTCAACTTGAACTTAGAAAAATATGGTATTCCATTTTAAAAATCTTGTAAAATGTTTAGACTGTTTTGGTCTTGAATTTTAACGTTCTAATATCAGACTTTAATGTAGGATTTTTAATTTGAACTAAGACATTATATATGATATTATATATTTAAAAAAATATACGATTTATTGTTCAAATTAAAGTCTATGATTCTTAAGATAACGAAATTTAAATGATTATTGAATTAAAGAGTAATAAAAATATTTACTGGAACCATTTTTTATTAAAGACAATCAGCTAAAAATAAATGTAAAAATTATGTGATATTCTAGAAAGTCAAATTTTTAAGCTCTTTAATGATCTAAATTGTACAGATTTTTGTTAAATGTTAATGCCAAATATATTGAGGATTATTTATGTCTAATTTTACATATCTTTCTTAAACAACAGTTTTTTTTTTTTACACAATGTTGTATAGCATGCCGGCATTATATTCTAAACTTGAGTAACTTTTTTTTATCTATTTGATTACTAATTTATATATAGTGCCACCACTCAAAAACACATTTCTTGTTTACACTTTCTATGCTGTACACTTTCACTAACGTTCTGATTTTATGTGTTGCCTACTTGTAAACAAAACTAGATGTACATATGTTTCTCCATTTTGCATTAGCGCAATTTCTCTCACAGACTTCCTTGGATTGGTTGGAACATGCACTTCAACATAACAGTCAAGATTTTGAGAATGGCACCACCAATTGTCATGATTACCCAATATGACAATTCGCCAAATTATTCCAATGCAAGTTTTATATTTCTTTTCATATGATTTATATGATGCCTTATTTCATTCTCTAGTCTGAATTTAGTTTTTGGAGTCTGAAATCAGGCCTTATGTAAATAGCTTGTTATAGTAACCTTAATTTTTTAAAAAATCTTTTATTCATATATTTGAATATTTTATTGCAGGCTTGTAAGAAGCTAGAAAATTACTTCATAGCAGTAAGGTGTCTTATTGATTAAGGTTTGTAATAATTCGCTTAGTTTACAATTATTTCTTTCTTTTATATAGATATGTCATCAATTTATTGTTCATTAAGAAAAAATATGTGTTTTGCTTTTCATTAATTTTTTTATTGTATTTTAATTTTTCTTGATTGATTTTTAACTTGAGTATTATGCACTAAAATATTTATTTTTTTGTTGGTTTTAAAAACTATTTAACCCCTAAAACATTGTGAATGAGGGGTAAATTATACTGAAAAATTTATGCTGTGCACTGCATGCTCATCCATTGAATAACATGGGGCAAACTAGTTTTTCATGCAAGAAAACTTACTGCTTAAAATTTGTTAAAAGCCTGGATAAATGCTCAGAGGGTTATATGTGCTTAAGAAATTTATTATGACATTACCTATTCTAAGTCATGACACTATAAATCTCTTTTCGTAATTTACTAACTAAGAAGCAATAAGGAATTAATAGCTTTCCATTTCTATATGTACAATGTTCTTAAAAATAAATGGACCACCCTAAAGAACTTTTGATCTAATGATTGGATCTTCCTGTTCTAGGACTCAATCTTAACCTAAAATATGCTAATTAATTAGTGCAGACAATATTTTAAGTTAAAAATCAGACACAAAAATGTACTTTTTCTGAATAAATATCTATTATATTATATTGATTATTTTATTTAATAATAGTCAAAAAATTTTGAATTGTATGGTATAAAATTCTTTACATCTTTTAAGGAATGTAATTTTTCATGGCGAAATGGAAAATCTGAGGGAAATCGGTCAAATAGTTCCTGAGAAATCGAATTTTTAAAAAGTCTTGTTCTAAAGATTCGACTTCTCAGGAACTATTCAATTAATTTTGCTCACATTTTGTTTTTTAGCCTTGTAAATTCAAATTTTATTAGACTATTATTAATTACAATGATACAAAATAATAAATATTTGTTAAAAGCTATTTATTGCATGGAATTATCTTTGTATAAACAACTTGTATAGTTATGTGCCAAAATGTTTCAATTCGCTTAAAAAAGTTTTCGAGTTATGATGAAATACGCAAAAAGCCAAGCATTGAACTCTTCTCCTGACCAATCTATAGGGATCAGAAATCAGAATACATTGAAAAAGAGTGTGCTTATTCAGAGTTATTACATTTTTGTGTCTGATTTTGAAGCATATTTGAGGTCACCCTTCAGAACCATTAAGATTGAGTCCTAGAACAACAAGATCCGATCATTCGATCAAAAGTTATTTAGGATGATGCTTTTATTTTTTTTGTTAATGTGCTTTTTTCATGTCTCAATTCTTTCTTCTTTCTATATCCCTTCTTTCAAAAAATTCTAGTCTAAAAATTAGACTATTTCCAGACTGTTTTTAAAAATTTTAGTTAAGGAAATTCATATTGGTCTTTTTGTACATATATTACACTATATTCTGTCTCTATAGACAGTTATATGTCCTTAGTAAGAAAATACATTAAACTTCTGTTTATGAATTTTTTTGCAGCATTGTTTAAAAAAAAAATGAAATTTTATATATAATGATATCTGCGGAGTAATTTCATTTACAAACAGTGCCAAGTTATGATTACATAAATTTCATGCTTATGATTAGTATTTTACTACAAATTTTTAGTATTTTTTTATGGTTAATTAACACTACTTAAAATTTACACAGGTATGTGATTTTTCTACTAATTCGTGAATGACCGTTGATTTGCAAATTTCCATGAATCAATTATTTATATTCTGCCAAAATTTTCTCAGAGTTCCACTAATCAAAAATGTAAATTTTGTTACTTATGCAAAATTTCAATTACGAGGCATTTATTCCGCCTTTACCCACCCTCTGTTTTTCTTCCCGAGCTCACATTCTAATAACTTTATAACTTTTTCCATAACTTTTTTTCTTTTTACGCAGATTTGTTAGAGAAAAACGCAACTTCTAATGAACTTCAAGAACACGAGTTTGAAAAAAATTCCATAATTAGTTAAGCTGAAATTAAGGTACTACTGAAGCAAACACAAAAGTATAAAATTCATAATTTAAAAAAATAATTCCGCAATGGCAAACATTTAAAAGATTGTTTGCAAGAAAATTATTATTTTTTTTTTTCATTGTTCATGAGAAAAAAAAATTTTTTTTTCCCTCATTTTTTTAAAACTTTTATTTCACTGAGTAGAAATTTTGTTGAAAATTCTGATTTGTAACAGAAGTATTATTTAATCAGTATGATGTACTCGCTCCTTTTTTTTTTAATTTGGCTACAATTAAATTGATTTAATTTTTAATGTATTAAGAATTTCAAGTAGCGCATATCAGTAATAAATTTTCAACTCTCTTTAAACCATCCTAAATCTCTGTTTTTAACCGTTCCATTTTTTGCAGTTAATAAAATTGATTTCCACTGGTTTTTTTAAATTATGATACCATTAGGACATGCGAAGTTTGAATCAGACATTTGAGTAATTATATTTGACGCACTCGATTTGCGACAAATCCATGCGACAGTTCGATATATATATATTTTTGCAGTTATCTCAACATTATCATGATACCGATATTATTATGATACAAGAGATTCAAATCGTGCTTCTGAGTGTTCACTATTTGGCACTATAATTCTATTTTCTTTCTAATAAATTTTTTTGGCAATTATCACTACTGATTTTCACATATTTTTATAAATCTTGCTCTTTTTTTATACGATAATATTTATTACACCACATGAACCTCGATACTTTGAATTAACCCCTTTTTCGCACATCCAATTTGTGAGATTTCGTTGTAAATAATGTCGTATATCATCAATCTTTTTTCAGTTATTTCCGTAAATTTCACAGTTTTATTTTTGACTTTTCATTTTATTTATTTTTTTATATTTTATATATTTATATTATGACTTGCAAGAGCAAAAACGAAGGAATATGTTATTTTTTTCAATATTCTTTTATGTGTTGGTAAGAAGAATTAGATTAAAAAAAAAATTATCTTTTTAAACTTTATAAATGTTACTTTTGTACAATCCTTCCTGTACAACAAAAAAAGAAGAAAAGTAAGTAAGTATTAAAAAGAAGGAAAAAACATGTCTTGAAAAGAAAGAAAAAAAGTGAAATAATTTCTTCTATCTGCAATTACATGTCTGCTTACATTTAAATAAAATTTTTAAATATACTTTCAAATTATTAATGAGTTCAAATGTTCCAATTAGTTTCTCCAATTTAGTTAAGCTTCTAGTTCTCCAATTTAGTTAAATGTTTTTCTTTTTTAATTTATTACATTGTTACTTCATTATATAAGTTGAATTTTGCCCTTTCAGATGTTATATTTCAATGATTATGACCTCTCATATTTAGGCCTTGCATGATTACATACTGAATTAAAATCTATCAACACACGTGTTCTCGAGCTACTAAACCAAGAATGGGGGAGGGGGGCAACACCTCTGCAGAGGATCAAAATTGTGATGGCATGTCTTCAGATCATTCTCTGGAATGTTTCCTTGACTGTCATCAATTGTTTATTGTGCAGCTCTAGTACGATGCATATAAAGTACTACTACTGCAATCTATTGACTCAATATTTGTGATGCATGTCCTTAATCAAATTTACACTAAATTAGATCCATAAATTATAAGCTTATTACTAAACTTTTAATTACCCTCTAGCCATTCGGTTCTAGGGATGCATCACGAAGAATGAGTTTTATAGCATTAGCTTTAACAGCAGATTTTGTTCTTCAATAATTTAAAAGCAACAATCTCAGTAAATATTTTTAAATATTAGTGATTTGTTAGCTTACAGCTTTATTTATCAGAAATTTATTACACGTTTTTACTAATTATGTATGTTGGCCGTACTTCTCTTTTATTCCTGTGTTAGCACATGTATAATCAGCATGATAATTTTGTAACATATAGGGATTTATTTACATCACTGAAGGAGTATTTTGAAAAATTGGTGAACCATTCAATTTATACATAGACATCATCCTCACCAAATCGATATTTAAAGAGATTGGTATTATGCTTTTAAAATGTGTTTCTATAAACCTAAACAAGTCAATAGGAATTATTGTTGTACTAAGGGGCAATGTTTAGGAAAAATTGTGATCTATCTTATGTAAAGCTTACATATAGCTAACTTTTCTTCATAGTAACCTTGAGTTCAACTTCTGAAACATTTTTTCAATAAATCTGATTAAGTCACTAGAAAGCACAAAAAGAAGGATAGTTGTACTAAGTGTCAATTTATCAAGATAAATTCTGGAAGGGTTATAAAAAAGTTGACTTATTAATGTTGTGATATTAGTTCCCCAAAAATGATAGTAAAAATATTAGAACCATTGAAGATTTACATCTGAAAATTACAGTTATGATTGCAATAAATTTTCATTCAGATTAAGTAATATTTTGAAGAAAAAAAATTAAAAATAACAATTGAGCAAAAACATTTATAGTTTTACTAAAAATATATTTCTGTTTTACTTTATACTTTTGTATATTTTTTTTTAAATTCCTTTTTGCAAATAATAAAAATAGCTCTAAAAATCTTATAGATAAGTTTAAAATTTTAATATTTTCAGTATTTTATATGGATGTTCTGTAGATCTAGCTATGCATTATGTTAAAATGCATTAATTTAATCTCATATTAATTGGTGGTAGACTAAATGCTGATAGGAATTAATATAATTTATAAAAAAATTCGTTTGTTTTCAACCTATCTCTGATTCTGTTAAAATGAAATTTAGTCATTAAAAATGCTCTAGACTAAAAATGCGTGTTTGAAAGCTTAGCTGTTCATTAGACTGGCAGACCAGTGGCAATCATTTTGCTTTTAAGTGCAGATTTTATGTAGGAAACGTATAAAAAAAGATTATTAATTAATGTAATTTTGTGACTGCAAAATATCTCTTATATTATATTACTCAATATAATTATTTTATTTGAAGGTAATTGGTGACTTACAAAATAAAAAATTATAACTATTTGATTAATATCAAACTAAAAGAAATACAAAAGTAATCAAGAGAAAAAATTCTGATCTGATAAATCAAATTCTGAAGTCTTAATTATAAGATGATTTTTTTTTTTGTAATAAATAAGATTGCTTAGTAAACAATTTATTGGTTTGGGTCAGCTTCGTACTCTGGAAAAATTGATAAATAGCTCTACTGCACTTTAAATCAACAATATGTATATAAGTTGCTGATACTCAATATAAATTTATTGTAAACAAAATTGTGTTCTTGTAATACGTAAAATACTATCTGTTTCAGTTCAGCTATCGTGTTGATTGAAATATGTGTTTAGATTTGTTTATACAATAGTCATGATTGAAATTTAAATATCATCGGTTAAATTTAAAAAAAAAAACATGTACTAATTTCAAGTTATAAAAAATGAATGAATAAAATTATTTTATTTAGCATATGTTGTTGGATGAATAAAAAAAAATTATTGTTTAGCTATAAAAAATTTTGAAATTGTTAAAAAAAATTATGTTTTAAAATTATTTGCAATGCCTAAAATAATGTATTCCAAACATTTTTTAAATTAGTTTAAACCCAACTTAAATCAATTTTCATTTTTACATTTATAAACATTAATCTGAACATAGCTTAAACATTGATCTTGTAATTACTTTTATAACATGATGGCAGGTAATAAAAAAAATGCTTTTTAAATTTGTTATGTAATTATGTAATTAAATAATTATTTGCTTAGAATTTAGATCAAAACTTTAAAAACATAAATTAAGATGGGAAACAGATAAAATACAATGTTATTGTGAATTTGAAATATAATACAGGGTAATTTGGAATTTTTTGATGTTTTCAAAATTATTATAATGCGATTTTGTAAATCAATATTTTCATATAAATAATATAATATCAAAATTATCTTTCTCCTTATTGTTTTTAAACATGTAAATTATTTATTCATCAAAAAAGTACATAAATAAAAGTTCATAAAAAAAACTACTATCAGGTAAATTTTATCTTTGATTACACTTTTCCATAACAGCTCAAAAATTTAAGTAAAAAAATTCTGAATGAGCAGCCAGCATTTATCTCCTTATTATCACCTGAAAAGATATTTTGTTAAAACGTGCACTACCATTTGCTATTAATTAGTACACGCCCATATTTTCTCTATAAATATACATGAAATTCTATAATAATATCAGAGTTGTGGATGCTGTTGCTTAATTATTGTTGTTTATATGAAACAAAGTTACAGATTAAAGATTTTTTTAACGAAAAATTTGAACTTCTTTTAAACAACAGATATTACAGTACTATTGTTTCTTATAATTCATTTTTTATGCAGGTACTTAGAGAGTAGAGAAAAAAAAGGATGACTTCATCTACACTAGTAGAAACTGTTTCTATTGATTATGAAGATTTCAGTGAAAGCTTCCTCACGTGTGGGACTTGTTTGTGCACGTACGATGGCCAGGAGCATACTCCGAAATTGTTACCCTGTTCCCATACTGTATGCCGTAGCTGTTTGGAAAGGATAGCTGCTGGTAATGGAGTGCGAGATGCTGGTTCGTTTCGCTGTCCTATATGCAGGGAAACGATTCCCTTGCCTCGTGGCGGCGTTAATGCACTTCCACCAAGTTTTCTTGTCAATCAACTTTTAGATCTCATGTCACGCCAGAGGAGGGAAGTGATTCCTAAATGTTCCCTCCATTCTACACAAGAACTTCTTTTTTGCGAGACATGCGACTGCGTCTTTTGTAGACTGTGCACTACAGGAGCGCATGGAAATGGCACTGAGAGTGGCCAGCACACTGTCATACCATTTTCCATCGCTATAAAGAGGATGTCGGAGATTCTTTTATACAAGGCACACTTATGCATCAGCAAATTAAATAAAGCAGCAGAAAATGTGAATGAGGAGATAACAAAGTTGGATTCTACGGCGGATGAAACCTTTGAAGCCATAAATCGTTCAGTGCAGGAAATCACTGCGGCCATAGAGCAGAGGCGTTGTGAACTCATAGAAATGGTAAAAAAGCTAAGGAACAATAAAAAGAAAATACTTGTGGATCAACTGTCTATCATTGAATCTGAAAAAGAAAAAGTGGAACAACAGTGCAATGGCCTTCAGTACCAAGTCGAAGTCCGTAACATAACCAACAGGATAAGCGATTTGAATAAAAAGCTGGATTCTCTAAATGCTGTAATGGAACCAAGAGAAAATGCTTTTCTCAAATATGAATGTGAACACAATTCTGCATCCAGTGACATTGAGAAGTCCTTGAGAGAATTTGGCAGAGTTCGTTCTAGTACCACTTATCCCGCTTTGTGTTGTGCTGCTGTCGAACCATGCTCTGCTCATTTGGAATCCACTGCCTGTGTAACTACCTATGATTATCATGGAACACCTCAGACCGATGGGGGCGATCCCGTTGTCATCGATTTAAGGTATGAGAATGGTGATAGTGTCAAAACCCATCTCCTTGATAGAAACAATGGCACCTACGATATTAATTTCCTCCCTGAACAACCTGGCAATTATAAGCTTAACGTAACCGTGTTTGATCGTCCTATAAAAGATAGTCCTTTTCATTTTGTAGCATCAGAGCATATAAATCCCATTTCACAGTATGGTTTGCGGGGTAGTGGAGATTTGCATTTCTTGCAGCCGGTTGGTATAGCAGTCTCTAAAAGTGGTGATATTTTTGTTCTTGATACTGGAAATAGTAGAATAAAGTCACTGACCAGTGATTATGAATTGATACGTCACGTAAGTAATGTTGGAATGGAAGAACGCAGCGGTACAGGTATAGCCCTCTCTCTGAAAAATTCATTGTTTATAGCTAATTGGAGATCTAAATACATCACAGAGATAGATTTTGAAGGTTCTGTAATTCAAAAATTCACTCATGTGGATTTTGTGGAGCCAATTGATCTTGCTATTAATAGCAAAGGCCAGATATTGATAGCCGATAATGGAGCTTGTTCAGTTTTTGTTTTCGACTCCTCTGGTTGTTTTCTCTCTCGATTTGGTAAAAAAGGTACTGAAAATGGTGCATTCAATCTGATAAGTTCTGTAACTGTTGGTCCACAAGATGAAGTTGTCGTAAGCGATTCAAGAATTCAAGTATTTAGTGCAGCTGGGAAATTTTTGAGGGAAATTTATCCAGAGGGAAAGAGTAAAGGTCACCATGGGGGTATTGTATATGATGGGAAAGGAAATCTCTTAGCCACTCGGTGTGAAAAATCAGGCAGTTTCATTCAGGTTTTTAGTTATCAGTCTGGTAATTTACAGTTTGTTATTGATAGTCACGATGCAAAGTTGAAACGACCTAGTGGTCTTGATATAACTGACAACCACCATGTTTATGTTGTAGATCTTGGTAATGATTGTATAAAAAAGTTCCGTTACCGATAAATATTAATAGAATCACTACTTCTTAGTCATGAGCCAGTATATATATATTTTTAAATTTATCCAACTCGAAAAGTTTTCTCATTTTTTAGCTCTTAGCAGAATTTCTATAGATAAGAATAAAGTTTTTGATTTTTTTAAAAAATTACTTCTCAGATATAGCTACGATTAGCAAAGTTTAATTTTTCCTGTTCCTAATACAATGTCAATGATCGTTCAATTTAGCTAATGTAAAGTGTATTTCAAATTAAGTAAACTTTCTTAAAGTCTGATTTGTGTTAAGAGATATTCTTAAAATATTGGTGAAAATAGAAATTGTTAATTAGCTCCTAGATAAAATAGTTGGTATTACTCTTGGTTGCAATATTATCTGAGATAATTTTTCAGATAAAACAATTATCTTTGTGTTTTATTTTATTGGCTGTTAGTGAATACAAATACAAAGTAGAATTCTATTTCATGATAAAATGAAATTTTCTTTAATTTTTGAACCAATATTGTTTTACATTTATACTGGTACATATAATGTCATTTTATGTTTATAACAGCTGTGTAAAGTAAATACTAAAATGTACTTAATTCTTATGTATTATTCATAGTACCTATTTTTTGCTGAATTTCTCAAATGAATTATATATTTAGTTTTTATTTCAAACTCAACTTAATCTTTGTTAACAGGGGTCTGTTTAGAAGAAATTTGGGTCCATTCACGGACCCTTCACAAAATATCTTTTCATAAAAACGGATCCTTCACAAAATATTTTAACTTAAAAACGGACCCTTCACAAAATGATTTTTCTTTTAATCGGACTCTTCACAAACTTGTTTATCTTCATTATTATTTTATTAATCAAATAAACCCTTTCCAGGGCAGAAAACAAGAAAGATGGATGTAAACGAATTAAGTTTTGTCTTCGGCAGACAATTCTTCCATTATTCGTCCGAAATTAATATTCTGCGTTCAGCAGTATAGGCTAAATACCAAATATTTGTATGTTGCATCTCTAATTTAGAAGCAGCAATTGTTGTTTATTTTTTAAAATTTAATTTTTTTAATTATAATTTTACAGTGTTGAGCATAATCTTGTATGTCTTTACAATTTAAAAACTCCTTGAAAATGTTTTTTTTTTTGCAATAACGGACCCTATTTGCACAAATTCATAAAAGCGGACCCTGGTTGAAAGAATGTGAGTAATTTTTACACAATTTCACGAAAAACGGACCTTTCACAATTTGTCTGGACAGACCCCTGGTTAAGTGAGCTATCTTTGTTATTAATCAGTGTTATAACTCATTTATTTTTTACCTTTGACATAAAATTATATGTATTTCAGCTTAAAACAACAAGAACATTTGTCTACTTTGACTCTCCATATAATATTCATTTTATTTTATTTTGCTGTATATAAAAGTTCTTTTGTTTTAATACATTTTGTTTGTATACAACCTAAATATTTTGGAATGAAATCCGAATCTCATATTGATTCATATTTTGAGAGTTACTTTCAACAGACTTCATTCATTATTTTACCAAATACATAGCTTTTCCCAAAAAAATAAACTTCATGTTAAATGCATGCTTTTATATGATGAATTATACATGCTTTATTACAATGTTTTCATTGCATTTATCATACAGTATTCATCAGGCACCAAAGACACTCACATAATCATTTTTTTATTATTTTAAGCTTATACATTTATTTTGTTTACAAATATTGCAGTATTGGTTAAAATAGTTATATTTGCCATCTTTTTCTGCTGAATGTGTAGTTCATTCCACATCTAAAGCTATGAAAGTGACTATAAATAGCATATATTTAATGTTTGTCTCTGAAATTTATTTTAAAAAAATTATTTGTTTCAAAATAAAATTGTCATAACTCACAATGAATTAAAAGTTAAAATATAGTGGCTGTATTTTAACCCTCATAACGTTGTGCCCATGGGTAAAATTATGCTGAAACATTCCTGTTTTCCAAATTGAATAACATGGAGAAACTGTTTTTTTTTTTCACGCAGGAAAGCTCAGACAAAGTCAAAAGCCAACAGGGTTAAAGCATAATAATTTTCTATAGATGTTCATAATAAGCAGACATCGAAAGCATTTCAATTATCGTAATATATAGTAATGTTTATTATCTAATTTTTAAATATAAATAAGCATTTTTAGGATTTTTGTAATGTAAACATAATTAAAACTTATTTATTTATATGACTAGTAAAAATTCGGCTTTTTCAAATGTGTAAAATTTTTGGAAGTACTATTTACTTTCTTAACTGGAACAACATTTATTAGTCGTTTTTTAACTACACAGTTGTAAAAGGAACTACAATCATCACAGGGAAAAGATTGTAAATATCACTACCTTTTAACCAACAATTTGACATCGGTTTTAATATATTTTATAATGCTCTCTTGTGCAAATGATTTGGACATGATAATTATGTCACGTGACATTATGTAGTTATTGGCACAAAAACATGAATAAATGACTTCATATTAAGTTTCCATGCTAATAATTATAACAAAATATTTTTAGAGCGATTTTAATTCAAAGTGAAAATCCACCCCATTTGGGATTAAATGCACAACATCATTTACCATTGTAAGGAATGCATAGCTTATATAGTATTTTTAGAACATTTTATGATGGATAAATCTATTTCAATATTTAAAATGGAACTGTGTATAAAAAATAAGCAAATGTTATTAAAGCTAACTTTTAATGCCTCCCCATATTTTTATATTCTTTTTGCATGGGTTGATTTAAGCTTCATCCAAGGCTTTTCTTCTGTTACATTAATTTTTGTGCCATATGTTGATGCCTTTTGAAAAGTATGTTTGTTTTTTTACACTCTTGATTTTGGTAGTTTTTCCCAATCTTTTTGTTCCTTTTATATAATATTTATGAGACGTCTAGCTTCAAAACCAGGTAGCTCCTTAATATTCTTCAGTCTGTTTTAGTTTTCATTTGTAACAAAAAGTTACAGAAATAAAGATGAGATTAAAGTTATTAATTTAGTTTTGTGAACCACTCAAGCAACCAGTTAAGAAATTGTTTTTAATAAGCTAATAGTTCTAATTCTGCATCTTTGTTACAAAACCAGTTAAATCTCAGATTTTTTTGTTTTGTTATGATGATACAAAGTTAAAACTTATCAAAATATGTAGTAATCTAATTGCTTTTTTTAATAAGAAAATTGTAAAATTATTCTATATATGATGAAATTGTTTAAATTTTTGTTAATCTTGTAAATTTGCCTGGAAGTTTTCAAAATTTTTTGGCCTACCATTGGTATTCATCTTTCCCTGGTTGCTCAGCTTAAGATTATCACCTCATAGAGGAGAAAAATTGTGCCCAGGTTGAAAACCGCTGGTTTATACTCATATTATCTGGTTTAAAAGCTAGACAACATAAATATTTTCAGTGATATATGGTTATGTGATGATCACTTACAGCTCACACTGCCTCCCCTTGCTAATTGATCCCTTCAATCTACTTATTGCAATATTTTTTTTTTAAAGCTTTTTGTGACTCTTCCCACTGTTTTTGCTGATAAGTTAAAAGTAGCTAACAAATGCCTTTTATAAAGAAGGTTTTAAACTGTACTGATTTATCCTAGCTTCTCTATGATCTTTGTTGTTGGATATTACCCAACAGGGTGTGACTATTATTTATGATATACTCATGTATTTATGTGCCATTGTTGTTGAGTATGAATTGTGAATGCGCTGGACGCACTTCTCACAGCTATCTTATAGTAGAATGATGAGATATTTAAAAAAAATGACACCTGTTGTATAAGCATCTGTGTTGATGTTCATTTTAGAAATTCAATTCTGTATAAGGAAATCTAAAAGTAAACTTAACTAATTGTTGTTCATCGAAATTTAAAATTATTAGGTAATTTGGGTCTATAATTAATTTTGATTTTCAAACTGCTAAGCTATTTTATCAAATCTTAAAATAGCTGAGTTGTTATTTGGATTTAAAGAGTTATTTAGATTAATTATTTGAGGTGCTGTTCTTTGAACCTTGCTACGCCCTAAAAAGAAGGAATTAAAAGATTTTGTTTCTTTGAGTCTAGACCTCAGCTAATCTTTCTTTGTTGTTAAAAATTTACGTGTTTTAAAATTGATTTGAATTACCTTAAATGCCTTTTATTAATATTCACCGTTATATTTCTTATTTGCAATTTCAATAATGTTAAAAAAAAAAATTTTATTTCCATGAACATTTAATTTTTCTTTCTATTTTTATTTCTTATTGCCTAAAAATTTTAAAATTTCTTTCATCATTCAGTCATAATAACATCTAGATTATTTTTGAAGAACTATTTTAGATATTAATCAATTACGTCTTCCTTAAATAAAAGTTTTTCTTCCTTATTCAATTTTCTAACTAAAATTAAAATAAAATTTTTGCTTATTTCTGCATGCATAGTGTTTTTTTTTATTATTATTATTTTACGCTTGTTTTAGAAATTATTTGGAAAATATTTTCTTGATTTTTTTTTTAAGCAAGTAAATTATGCAAGTGGCTCTGTTGAAATTACTTTTAGAATTCCTTATTTCTTATGTGTAAAATGAACACTTATCTGATTCCTTGTAAGCATATTTTGCTTGTGTTGTTTGTATATTGTCTTGCTTCTAGTCAAGTCTCAAGAAGCTTTATGCAACAGGGTTAAAAAAATAAAATGATTTTTCGCTCTGTGTCATTATTGTTTCTGCTTCTTTTCAGATCGCTTATCACATATCAAGCAACCATATCATATATTAAATTCATTTACATCTATTGAGTCATTCTTTTATGCATTTTCACGATAACTTTTGGCGAAATTTTTAAAAATAGATTTAAGTAAAATGACGAATGCAAAAACACATTTTGTGAGACTAGATTTAAATAGTAGACCCTATACTAGATTTAAATGTTCTTTGTAACCGTAATTCAATTTTCAATTCTATCTTGACTATAAAAACAATTTTTTTACACTGCTAGAGTAAAAAGTTATATTTGAATTGAATGACATAAACTCACCTCACATTATGTTTATAATTTAAAATATTTTTCAACACATCAATTATTAAAATTTAACGTTCTTTCATTAAATTATTTATTTATAATTGCCTTTGTGTAAGAAAGTTCTTAGTCATTGTGAAATATTTGTAACGTTGAATCCCTTGTATTGTTAGCTGTTCATTTATAGTATGTGTCTAAAATTCCCTGGTTTGTTACATGACATTTTATTGTCTGTATGAAAATGAATCCAGTATCAATCTTAGTTGCAGCATGTGGTGAAGAAAGAAAAAAAAATTAAACTGTTCTAGCACTTTTTGGTAAAGTATTACTATAGAGGCAGAAATGAAAATTTTGAGAAAGCTTTTTTTTTTTTCTGCATTCAATTCGTTCTTTCTCCTATAACTTGGGTTATTTCCCAATTAGATAACTTTAATTTATTATTCAGGATTAATCTCGAATAACGATTTTAGTTGCTGTCTAATTATCTTATATTTGTGAACTGAAGGAAAATAAGTCTGGACTAACTGAGTATCATTTACTTATCTATTTCATCCAATAAATGTTCTCAATTTTTATACAATTCAGAGCTTTGTTCTGAATGGGCCCATTCATGACTGATTCATAAAAAGAAACGTTATTTGGAACCATCAAAAAATTTACA